TTCAAAACTAAAAATCAAACTGAAAAATTAAACAATTTTCGTACTTTAAAGAATTTTTGAAAAAATGTTTAAGCACATTTCAGTCAATATTCATTCTATATAAAATTTGAATTCGAATAAGAAGATGGGAAGAATTTGTCTCTTCGAGCGTAGACACTTATTGGATTCCACATACTACAGGCACAAGCCTGACGACAAGCACTTCTCTAACAGCATCCTTCATGACACAGCTAAAGTCACTCTCATCGCCAAGTATCTACTGTCACTCGCCCGGTTGCACAACCCCCCTTCCGATATCTCCATCCCTACCACCGTCCCCGTTGACATCCCTAGAACCTCGTTCAAACCTTGTAACGCCTATTATCTTATCCTATACTTCGATTAGAGGGACTTTAATGCCAACATTATCCCTGTCTACAACGGTAGTTTTCGAGACTCTAGTCATACAGTTTATTGCTAGCCCACTTCCCGCATTTTCACTATAACCCTGTCCCTTCACCTATTGCCAATCCATCTACGTCATGCCTATGCTTTCTGGCATAGATGAACACTTTCTGGGTTAGATATACCTAGTCTCGTAGGTACTGGTCATATCTCCTAGTCTCTTAGGTCATATCTCTCACCTCGATTTCTAGAATAAAGTTTCCACATTGCCGTAGAAATCTTTTTCATTCATTCCTAAGAGGTGTTTTTAGTGGGTTAGTGTCTCACACTGTGGCTGATGGATGATGCTTTCTATCTACCACAAAAAAAATAAACAAAAACAAATAAGAAATCAAATCAACTTAAAACTATTGCTATTTCGATCATATTTGTTCCGGCCTTAAACATCCATGAGCATTTGCCAAAAACTTCATTACTCAAGTATTGAACAAGATCCCATTAAATGCGCAAATTTTATATTTCATCTAAATGGTATGTAGTGCACATTCCTAAAATTCTTCTTTAAAAGAATCGTTGTTCAATCGTTGTTCGTTTATACCTACTATGGCCTTATATATCTATGATCGGTGATGTATTATATTTTGTAGAAAAATGTATTTCGGCTTTATTAGTAAACAGTTTTTTATCTCTTCCTTCTACTGGCTATATCACTCATATATTTCTGTATGTGCCGGTTCTTTATAGTCTAGATAAATTTAATACAGTCATTTTTTCAGATGATTACAAAATCAAATAAAGATTAACTATTTATGTTATTTTGTGTATTGCGCTAGTATTCAAATGAAAACTTCAACTTATGATACACTCATAACAATTAATTTCTATTAAAAATCAAATGAAGCGAAAGGCTTTTCAATTTTAATGTAGGGTGCTTAGGAAAGAAACTAATATTTAGCACAATGTTTGTGACATTGTGATACAAAACAATTGTAAAACGTAACGAACTATGAAAAAAGTGAAACTAAATCCCAGGAAAAAATCTCAGTAGTATGTTTTCAAAATTTATTGCATAGAAAATCCTTTTTACGTTTGATACTTTCCTTCGCATTGCATTTAAGCCCTTTTTAATGCATCAGTTGCAAAATACAGATTATGTTTCTGTAGTAAAATGACGCAAACAGTTGGACTCGGGTGGATGACGCACAGGTGTCACGGTATGTGCATATCACAGCAATGTCGTTACCGGTACATTTGGATGTAAGTATGCAAGTGAGGTGCACCGGAATGATAAAGTCATAAAACGTCAGTTTCGTTCTACGATGGCTTCTGATAAAACAATTCATTGCGCGACTCCATGCAAGCGTAGGAAAATTTAATGGCAATCGTATTTGAGTTTGTAATTTGTTTATACACAAATAAAGATACAGTTTTGGCCTTAATGCATGGAATACTGCACCCATACAGACAGTTGTGTATACAAGGATGGATAAATTTGTAGACACTAACTGAATGAACGCCATAAACATTGCAAATCAGTTGATGTGCAATTGCGATGGCAATTTCAAATGCAACAGGATATAATCATGTCAGTTCACCTGATTAACTCTATAATCAAAATATGCTATGCCCTATTGATGTTTATTTCGAAAGGATTATATGAAGCCATATTTTTCATTGGATGCAATGAAGTTGTCATATTGATACAAAATTATGATAGTTATTGATTAATTGACTTGAAATTATTTCAGATAAAATTTTATTACATATGAATTTGTTCGATGTGAAATTTATGTCACTACATTTTTAGGATTGTGAATGATAACATAAAAATCTCATTTATCAACCTGTGATAGACTGTTTACTGCATGGAACTCGATTACCATTTGGTCTTATGCAGTTCACATTTTTAATAGAAAATATGATTATTATTAGAGAGAAAGGAGATAAGTTAATTAACATTATTTATGCTTTGGTTACATCCTTATACATTCTTATTTTTTTTTAAGATGACTTATTTAAATTAGTAATACTAAAAGTTAATTTCTGTTACATCTTGTATTGCATTTAACATTTTTAACATAGAAAGTAGTTGAATAATTTTATTAACAGAAATACTTGCGCTTACTTCATGAGTCTTAGATAGTATTGCATTTTTAGAATAGTTTTCAACCGATTTATTTCATTAATTTCTCACTAACAAGATATTTCATAATCAACTACATTGCATTTTAACGACATTTATGACAGCAATGACTATTTTAGTTAATAGAATCTATTGCATTTTATACCGTGGTCTCGAACAGTAGTGAACTACAATAACAAATATTTTTTTTATTATTTTAATTAACTGAATTTTTGAAAGACCACATATGATGTATATTTGGCCATACACGAAACAGGTGTATGGTCAGCCAAAAAATTAATACAAATTTAAGTATTATCACCCGGGTAGATTATATACCCGGGATTATATTTTGACACGGGTGGAGTATGCTTTCTAATGTAATTAAAATATATTGAGTTTTGTCTAATCCACTTGAATTTTCTAGTAGTTTACTCATATACCATAACTTCCTACTTTCTCCTCATGCTCATCATCGACTATAGCTGAATGTATACATAAGAGACAGATTTTATTCTTTTATTTGTGATCAAGAATATTATATAATAATTTATTAGCAGGCTAATTGGTCATTCAAATATAAATAAAAAAACTACACTTTATTAAAATATTTTTCCAATAATTCAGGGAAACTGGAGATGTTTATCGAAGATAGTCGATATATCGGAAAAATATTTTAATGAAATAAAAATTGTTTTTAAATATAAATAATAAATTATAGTTTTTTTTATTCCTATTTAAATGGTCAATAAGCCTGCTAATTAATTATTATGAGAAACATATACATTTTTGTTAACTATGTCTCCTATATATAGGTTCTTCAGTATTATTGGATTTATTGGATCTGTGGAATATACAACACGCTCGTGTATGTACATATAATATATATGTACATAATTGTATTATATACAATTCACACACACACAACATATATATATATATATTATAAATATATTATATATAACATGATATAAAATATATTGAAAATAAAAAATATAAATATATGATATATATATTATATCTATAGATATATATTATATATTATTATATATATATTATATATTTATACATTCATATTTTCAATGTATTGTGTGTCATATTATATATACTATATTTAATATATATATTATTATATATATTATTTATATATCATTTTCATATTATGGTTCCAATGGATTTTGTATGCCAATCGGTCACACCATAAATATGTTATTACCGATATAGATTTTAATTAAAATTCTATAATTTTTGTAAGTGCTGTCTGTTTTTTTTTTTTTGAATCAATAATAATTGAGAAACGTTTACATACCTGGTATTATTGGAGGTGTAAATATTTGAGTGTTGTCGCAGAGGTTAGATTCTACCACTTTTAAGAGTGTGAACTGTTAACAATTCACAGAAATTTTTAAAACAAAATTTATTTATCAAGTGGAGGGTAATTAAGTAATTTAAAACAAATGGTATTTATATGCATTTAAAAACCATTTTTTTAAATGCATTAAAAATAAATTTATTAATGAGGTGTGAAAGTATAAGTAAAAAATATTTATTTCTTTATCATTGAATTTATTATTTAAATTTTAAAATAAATTAATGATATTTATAGTACAAAAAATAATAAATTTTAATTAAAAATCACTTATTTTCATGTCAAAAAATAAAAAAAAAATATTTAAAATAATTTTCTGTAATTGCATTAATTGTAATGAATACCAGGCCATGTTAACATGTTAAATGGGTGATTTGCATTTACTTACGTGCTTTAAAGCGTGTAATATGTTCATTTATCTTTTTTTGACGTCATTTACCAAAACGCAACATCATAGTTTTACTATATAATTTACACAGTACAAGTGCATATCAACGCCCACAATCACCAAATATAATCATGAAATGCACATAGGATGGGTAATGATTCCAATGGTTGGAATGCAATCCGCAATATGTGTTGACCGTTTTACATATTACGAAATTTCATGTCTCTAATTGGAAATTAACTAATTCACAAAAAAGTATCTATTCTAACTAAAATAATTCCTATCTACCGTATTTACGTTACATGTAATAATTGGGGAATACATGGATAATTATCTCGCCACACACATAGCTTTTATCTCTCTCGAGTTTAATTAAGTCATGTAAAGTGCTAAGTCACTGATAAAGCGATTTTAATTTGAACATTTTAAAGTGTACAGAAATTACTATTGGACAACATGAAGTAAAAGGACATCGTTTGCGTCAAATATGCAGGCACCATTAGCAAATACGTAACATTACATATTTCAACTACTTTGATATGTAAATTATGTTTTCTCGTCAACCGAATTATTTAGTTTTACCACACATCTATTACATATATATATATATATATATATAAATTACATAAAAATTTAACGAATGGCGCCGTTATTATCTTTTAAGGCAGGATTTTAGCTCACATACTTTTTAGCTTTTTACTTTTATAAGGACGTATTGGATTATGTGGGTTACTCACTGTTCTTTTTGTAGAGTAAGATTTCGAATTGATCTTGTTGCTGATTTTCCAGTGTGTATTCCAGGCGCGCCACTGTCTCTTTGTCTGTCAGTTCACCGTACATAAAGCCGCATCTGCAATAACACAAAAATACCACAAAGAGTTATTTTGTTTTAAAAGTATCTTTGTCAAAAAACATTGAACCTTTTGCAACTACACATGCAAATTGTGAGTTTCATTCGACAAGTTCAATAATGTCGAATTCATCAAAGTGTAAATTCAAATGATGGGTTTAATGATTAAAATTCAACAAATTTTACGAGTACTGAAGGGAGTATACATACAACTAAATGAAGATTTTTTTAAAATGTTTTTTTATCCTACATTCGAATGAAATTAACTGGTATTCCATGTTAATGAGAACAACTATGTTAAATTAACAACTGCTTTACTTCTATTCGCAATAATATATATTCAAATATTTTACCTATCAAAACTGTACTTCTGTTGTATAAATACTTAAAAATCTCTAATTCACTTTATAAAATTTAGTTTCCCTTTTTTTATTTTAGTTATAAGATTTTATATTTTATAATTAATTATAATGCATAAAATAAGTAAATAGGTTAAATATTAGCCTTTGCTGCTATCGAAAACGAATCCGCAAAAATGGGTTTAACGATGAATGAAGGCAAAACGAAATATATGTCAACTTCTGGAAGAAATGAGAGTCGCTCGAACGCCGGGCTATTAGTTTGCGACTATACTTTCGGATCTTTCAAAAATTCGATCTACCTTTGCACTGTCGTAATAAAAAACAATGATGTCAACCTGAACATTAGACGAAGAATCAAGGAGCCTATTCCGTATGGGAATCCTAACACCACATGTGTGGTCGACTCATCATTCTCTTCACAGAATTTATAGTTTGCAATTATGTGTGCACCCAGTCTTGTAAGGTAGTATTTTAGTTTACATTGCCCTGTTAGGATTCCTGTTGAGATTCCTGTGATGATTCTAAGTTTTTCTTTAGATAGGTTCATACAATCCTGGTATCTCTTATTATTTTAGGTACCAATAAGTGATTTGGATTGAGTTGATGATAGTATATTATCCCAGTAATCTTATTGACCCTGGTTCTCCTTTATTTTTATGAGAGAAAGGAGCGTACTATGTCCTAGTCCAAAAAAAGGTTCCGGTTTCATCTTTGGTGTAGCCATTTCTTTCCTAGCTAGTTTGTTCGCATATTCATTTTCGCGTATGCCAGTATATCCTGATTTAATCATTTAATTTAAATACAACATTATTGTGATCACTTTAAAGTGATCGCTTACGGTATGCTTGATCAACTGAAAAATGTATGCTGATTTTAATGCAATCAGAAACTTGAAGAGAGAACAGAATTTTATATACTGCAGAATAAGTTAGAATAATATATGACCAAGTCAAAATGATTAGCTTATTTTCTAATGATTTATAGCGAAACATAACACCGCTGTGAAATGCTGTCAACACTCAAAAAATAATATATGGTATACTGTGACTTATTTCCATTTTGATATAATGTTGATGTTATTTCCATTTCCCAAGTTTAAAATAACACTTGATAAGCCACGTATTTTAATAGCACAACAGATAAAGCTAAGCGTGCCTAAGACTGTCATATACCTAAAAATATGATCCAACTGAATTTCTTGGAAAGGAAACTGGGATGCATGGTGTATGTGTATACATTAAGACCGAAAAGTTTTCGGAAATTCTCATTTAAAATTCGCGCGCTGTATATTTTTCGATATTTTAAGTTTATGTAGTTTGGCAGCACTGTCCTTAATTACTATGCCAAAAATGAGCGCGATCTGTCAGACAGTTCGTTTACGGCAGCTGTTGAAACCAGTTCACCTCAGTAGGGCGTTGCGAAAAAAACAATGGAAAAAAATATTGAACAAAGAGTTTGCATCAAATTTTGTGTTTCGAACGAAATTTCGTGTGCAGAATCGTTGCGAATGCTACAAAAGGCTTATGGGGAATCAGTTTTATCGAAAACTCAAGTTTATGAGTGGTACAAAGCCTTCCAGGACGGTCGTACGACCGTCGAAGACATTTCGCAACGCACTACTGAGGTGAACTGGTTTCAACAGCTGCCGTAAACGAACTGTCTGACAGATCGAGCTCATTTTTGGCATAGTAATTAAGGACAGTGCTGCCAAACTACATAAACTTAAAATATCGAAAAATATACAGCGCGCGAATTTTAAATGAGAATTTCCGAAAACTTTTCAGTCTTAATGTAATATAAAGAGGTGAATACATGAAAGGTGACAAAAAAGAAGTAAAAACATTTTTTAAAAAATTGAAACTTCTTAATATTATTTGATCAAACTTTGATTTCTTAAAAACTTGTCTAAATTGATAAAAATTTATTTCATTGCTTTTTGTTAAAATTGACTTAGTTAATATTATTAAGGCGCAATATCAGGACCTCTTAACATTGTAGACTCCATTGCATGGATAATGATGATTAGGAATCACCAATACACCTTCTGCTACAGTGTCCTGCTTTCGCAAAACATAGACTCTCCTACTTAGGGTCACATTTTTTCAATTCACTAAGAGAGCTAGATTCTATTTCCATAGCTCGTCTCAATGGCTCTTTGTGGCCAGTACCAAATGGTTATAGGGACAGGTGTATCACAATAGACCTCATGGTGTAAGTGAGTTTTCGGACGGCCCCAGTAACCTAACCTAACCTAATATTATTAACTTAATATTTATAATATAAATTAAGTAATAATTAATATTAACTGTACATTCATATATATATTTTTTAGTGAAAATAATTCTAAGCTTTACATTTTTACACAAATCAGACAAAAAATTGTGTTTGTAAAATTAAAAACTAAAGTTAAGTACTTCATGAATTTTTAAAAAAATTATTAGAAACATAAAAAGTTGTATTTATTTATTATCCGAAAAAAGTTTTGTTGTCGATTGTGCATACAGAAATGCATTCAGAAATTCAGAGAAAGGATACTCAGAAAAATTGCATTGAAAAGTTTTTTAAAGCACACAAAAAAGTTTGTTTCTATTTCGATTCACCGAAAATTTATGCAAAAGTAACATTTTTGCAATTTTCACTAAAACTTTGAATAATTTATGATATCGCTAAATTGCATAAAGACAAAGAAAATACTTTTCGATTTTCTTCTTCGTGCAACGCTTAATTTAATATAAAAGACGAAAGTTGTCTTAGAACGCGCATTCCGAGCGCGTATCCAAGTGAACTGAATATGAAATTTCTAAACTTATAAAGAATATATGAAACTTTTATTATTTCATCTATAAAACTAAAACGAAAACGAAAAGTAATGTATGAAATTTTTATGAAACTGCAATCATAAAATATATTAAAATGACAACAGCTGCTGACAGTATTTTTGCCACTTTAGAAACAGAGTCCATATATTAAATTTACATAAAACGTGACAATGGAAAAGACATTATTTGGGTTAAACTAAATTGCATAAAATACACTTTGTACATATAAATATACAATAATATCAGAATATACACTCACGTATATTTGGCATACATGCAAGTGTTAGCCCAACAGGGCGTATGAGTGACACACTATTTATTTAATACGTAAAATATATATAAATTAAATATTTAAGTCGAATTCAGTAAAGAATGTAAAATATGTTAGCATTGTGAATTTGGCAAAACTGTTTAATTTATACTTAATAATTGTACTGCATTTCAAATACAAAATATATAGTTTTTAGTATATAATTGTAATTTATACCTACATATATGTAGTATGCAAATATATGCACTTCAGTAGCATATTTTAAATGGCTAAAAACGATATCATTTAAATTTCCATAAATAAGAATCAATTCAAGTTTGGTTTGTAAATTCAAGTCCAAATGACTTGAGGCACCCATATATGGTACATTTATGTGTGGTTATGTGTATCAGTAAGTAAATTGAAATAGCTTAGTAACAATTGGTAAGATTCCAAGTAATATTATCGTTTTTGGTCAGAAAAGCAAAAATTTCAGAAAGTTACGACATTTTAAATTTATGTGCACTTAACTCTGCACAATAAAGTTTGTTTAGTTTTCGTAGTAAAACATTTCCAACTATCAAAATTTAAGCAAATAAAACTATGCAAACAGCACTCAAAATAACAAATGGAATATTATATTTAAATATTATATATTTACTTTTCATTTGAAACTTCAAATTATAAATTTTGATTTTGTTTTAGATATTAAATAAATTATTTAATTTTTAGTTTTTACTATAAAAGTAATAGGTGTAATAAAATAATAATAATAAAGAAATAAATTTTCGTTTTTCCAAAGAAGTGTGTAAATTAATTTATTTAATATATAAATTTTATTTTTAAAAACTTCATAATTTTATTTAATATATAAATGTTTTATGTACAACTTTTTCCATATAATTGCTAAAGACTTATTAATTTTATTCCGTATAATTGCTAAAGACTTATTACTTCAAATGATTACTCCTTACTTCGAATGCTTGCTAAGAACTTATTATTTTAATGATTGCTAAAAGACTTATTACGTTTAATGATTGCTCAAGACTGACTCTTTTTGTTTTTAAGAAGAATGATTGAAGTCATTCCAGAAATTTTACAATTGGATTGTATTCCAACTTCTAAAATTCCTACGAATATTCTAGAAGCTTCTTATCTCCATCCTATAGGACTGGAGCTTCTATTTTCTCAAGCGCCTCGTAAGCGTCTTTAGCTTTGGCGTCAGTAGCCAGATGACGAGATTAATATCAAATAGTATATGGACATCTCATCGATCAAGTATTCAAAATGATACTTGATATGTTTTGTGCAAGATACTGGCAGTTAGGAAAGAAAACATTTTGCAACAATGTTGCCATAAGAAGTATAGGCATTATGTCTGAATGTGTTTACATAGACGCCTTAATGCCAGATGACGAGATTAATATCAAATAGTATATGGACATCTCATCGAGCAAGTATTCAAAATGATACTTGATATGTTTTGTGCAAGATACTGGCAGTTAGAAAAGAAAACATTTTGCAACAATGTTGCCATAAGAAGTATAGGCATTAAGGCTGAATGTGTTT